CATTGACAAAAACAAAAACAAAAAAGGACCCAGATCAATGCTAAACATACCAACATTCTTTCACAAAACCAGTAATTCTAGTATAACCAAGAAGGATAATATATATTATATAAAGTTGAATGCGTCAAAGTTAGTAATTCATAGGATTGTGACACGTGACGAATTATTCGATTCAGATTTTGATACATGTCGCGACTAAATTAAAAATAAATTTAAATTTAGAAAATATCATTATTGTTAAAAAGATAAATAAGAAAATATAACCATTATAATATCTAAAAGAAAAAAAATAAATAATAATAATAATATATATATTTGAATTAAGAAAAAGAAACTTAAAAAAAGTCTAAAATATCATTATTGTTAAAAAAAACTAATATTAAAAAAAAGAAAATATTAGTCACATCTTTATAAATATATAAAATCTTTTATTTTTATTAGGCTGATTTTTCTCTTAGACTGAAACAAACGAATAAGATACAAAAACTAATGAATCAATGAAAAACAATCAGAATTATAGAAGCAAAATAAAGGAGAAAGCCAATTTTTCTTTGAAATATGTAGCAAATTTTATATATTAGTAACTCACATGATCGTGACATATGTCAAGTTTTTCGATTAAGATTTTGACATGTGTCGCGATTAAATTAAAAATAAAACATAAATTTAGGAAATATTATAATTATTAAAATAGATATGTATACTACAATATCTAAAAACGGAATATATTAAAAATAAATTAAAAAATTATCTATTTCAACTAAAAAATGAAAAGCATTTAAAAAAAAAGTAAAGACTGTAATGACTAATCCTAAAAGAATAAGAAAATTATTATTCACATCTTTAAAATTACATAAAAATATTTATAATTTCTCTAGGCTGATTCTTTTCTTAAACTCGAATCAATTAGATAAGATGAAAAACTAATGAAACGACGAAAAACAATCAGCCAACTTTGCTATGATACCATTTTACCAAATGAGATTCTCGATGAGAGCTTGTTAGAGAAAAATAAAAAATCATATTTGTGAAAAATATAAAAGTTAATACGGAATGAAAGAGAAAGTCAATTTCTTTAAGTGGTTTTGCGAAAATATTTTCAATCTTATTTTTTTATGTACACAGTTATCTAATTTTGTTTTAAAATTTTCAGGTTTATTCATATTTGTGAAAAATATAAAAGTAAACATGGAATGAAAGAGAAATCCTGTTTCTATAATTAGTTCTATTATAAGTGGTTTTGCTAAAATGTGCTCAATCTTACTTTTTCAATGTTCACAATGATTTAATTTAATTTAATTTTTACTTTTTCATATTAGTCTTATTTGTGAAAGATAAAGGTAAACATGGAACGAAGAAAAACACTAGTTTCTTTAATCAATTTTATTATAAGTGGTTTTACGAAAATATTTTCAATTTTAATTTTAAATTTTCACAGTTATCTTTTTTTTTTTACTTTTTCATATTCAATTTCTTTTTAACGGGTTATGTAATAGTTAATATAAATGAGTATATATATAGATCATTTTCTAAGTTAAAATGATTGAAATATATGTGAGTTAATTATTTAAAATTTGCCACGTGTAATAAATATTTTAACTAATAAAAAATTGAATATAATTATATAAATACAGAAATAGATATCATTAAAGTTATTTATTTTTGTTTTCAATTTATTACTTTTAAATTTTAAAACAATTTCCAAAGCCATGTATACACGGATCATAATCTAGTATATATATATATTTAAAAAAAGTTCACGAGTGACTTTGTAATGCCATTTTTTTAAAAAAAAAAATATCTTATCGGCCAGAAAGTTGAGACACACAATGTTGCAGCGTGCTATACAAGTTACCATCAGATTCTGCTTGAGGAAGTTGTATATTTTTACAATCATTTCAGGTTTTGGGCAATTAATGTGAATTTCTCGAGTACATGATATTATGTAATAGGCAAACGAACAATATTGTAGCATGATGAGAAAAGCAAAAACTGTATATATGAAAATGTTATTCGTGGATCTCTATTTTGCTGAAAAAATTGCTGAAGTTGTCTAAACCCGGTTTAACTCAACCGCTTTAGTCAGATCCAGTCGAGAGTCACATATTCCTTCACAAATTATTTTATCTGTTTCACAGCAATCGATTGCAAATTAGTATGTGTTGCTATTGTCTTAAGTCGCAATGAAAAATCATAGCTCAACAAAAAACAGAACAAAATCCTTCAGAAACTCACAAGCCATAAACGAATTTGAAACAATTCAAATTCGGAAACTCAAAATGTTGTATATATATTATATGATAAGATTATAATACTAGGTAGCTAGGAACATATAAATTCTCCAAGTGTTATTTATTTTCATATTTCTTAGTTTCCACATTAGAAATTCTATAAATTAATATTTGATAAATAAATTTTATAAGTTAATAAATGTATCTGGTCCCAAATTGAGCCGGTTCAAAATATAGCATAAATCGATAAATTAATAAAATAATATTTTTTTAAGAAACCTATATAAATATAAATCTCATTTATATCATAAATTAATAATTAGCATAAACATAGTTTTATATAAATATATAATTATGATAATAAACTAAAATATGAGTACAAGGTAATTAGTTTTTATATATATCCTAAGCTCCTTTTAAAAATGATGTATGGTTATGTGTAAACCTGATTGTCTGGTGTTTAAATTGAATGCAATAGAAGTAAAATATGAAAACTCAATCTATTTGTTGCATAGAGTATGCATTGATCCTAGAGATTTATACTTTGACGTTTCCAAAATTCAAACATCAAGATGCGCTGTAGTGTGATTATGATGCAACATTAGTGAATTTTAAAAACTTGAGAATAACTTACTATCTTTAGAGTCGAATGGACAACGGTGTTATATATACGGGTGGGCGCAAAAATCATATATAATCGAAAAAATCAAACCATATCGAACTGAAAAAAGTGATATGGTTTGGTTATAGTTAAACTTAAAAATTCATTTGGCCGTCATTTTATTATAGTTTTGGTTTAAGTTTAGTTTGGTTAAAAATCGTTAAACTAAAATATTTTTTTCGGTTTTTAAACTAAATTTTAAATAATTTATATTTTTCTAGTTTCTTAATTTAGTTTAGTTACATATTTTATTATTAGGCTTAGTTATCTTTATAATTTACTAACTTAACTCATAAATTTAAACTATAATATTTATAAAAAATATCTACATATAAATAATAAAGTAAACCTTCATTTTTTAATAAAAAAAATGTGATTTACTCTTTTTCTTCAAATTCAAGTCTTCTAGTTCTAGTTCCAAGGTTATAGGTATTAAGTTTTAATATAGATTTGTTTATTGTTTTATAATTATTGATTATGAAAGATTTGATAATTTGTTTGTTTCTCTGTTTTGAAATCTGTCTTTATTGATGATTTTTTTATGATTTAGATTCTATTTTTGGATTTATTATTTTATTTCACTCATTTTTATTATTATTATTATTATTATTATTTCCATTAGTTTGAATCAAAAACTTTCGTAATAGTATAATTCCAAAAAAACCGAAATCAAACCATATCAAACCAAACCGTAAAAAACCAAATCATACCGAACCAAAATATTTATGGCTTTTAAATGATTTTAATTTTCGTAAAAACCGAAAAAACCGAACTAAAATCAAACCAAAAACCGAAGTGCCCACCCTTAATTATATATACAGTATTCTTGAAGACTTATTTGACAACTGTATTAATATTTTTTTTGTTAAAGTATAATTAATACATTAATGCTTTTACTTCTTTTAGTATGTATAATTTTCCCTCTATACGGTTTTATTTATATTTAAAATCAAATTTAAAAAGTACAAATTAGTTTTAATGTTATTACGTGATAAAAGATATATATATATATATATATATATATAAGATTATTCCTATGTTATATACAACTACGTAAGTGTATGTGAAAAAAAGCAACAAAAAAATGTTATAATGAAAATTACGGAATTGCCCATGTGTGTAACAACAATCATCAACAGACATTTCTCTCTTACCGTCGATGAGAATAAGAATGGTGGTGACTTTGACGTGGCTTGATCGTAGCCGTCCAACTTCATCGAACTGTGCCAGAATTCAGTTACGGACGTCAAAACTTTTATAGTTTCGTGGACCCAACCCAATTTGGAGACACCAACAATTCCGATTCCCGCCTATAACACATTCCCCACAGGAGCAGATCCTCTCTCTAATTTTCATTTTCGAGTTTCAAATCCTCTCTCTCTCTCTCGTTTGAAGCTAACGAGAAGGGGTAAAGCTCGACGATCGGATCATAGCTCTGAGGAAGCGAGATAGTCGAACGAGAAGAAAATGGATGAAGACGGCGAGTTCACCGCAGCGATACAAAACCGTAAGCTCAAACTCTGAATCCAGAAAATCTAACCGATTATATGATTTTTTTCTTCCAAATTTGAGCTCAAATCTTAATGCTCTGTTGAATTGTTGCTCGACGTTGCTATCTTCATGTTTCTGTTAAATTGTTGCTCGCTTTTGCTATCTCTTTCTAAAATTTGTGCACAGTTTGTTTAACGAGACATGTCATACTCGAATTGTGCCTCTAGTGGTTTATTTAGCATAGACTTTCGCTTCGATCCCTGGGCAAACTCATCTCGAACCTCAAGTCCACCTCCCTTTGAATTTTTTTGGCTCAGATCTATGTGAATTTCCGGTTATCTTCATGCTTCTGTTGAATTGTTGCTTGCTGCTGTTTATCTATTTTAAAATTTATGCTCTGTCCTACTCGAACTGTGCCTCTAGTGGTGGCTATAGATCTCCGCTCCGATCTTTGCGCAAAATAATCTCGAACCTCTCTTAGATTCAGGATTTTGAAGTTATACTTGTCCACATTGCTTCTAAGTTTTCGCTCAGATCCGCTTGATTTTCATGTTACTTTTGGATTGTTGCTCGGTGTTGTTACCTTTGTGCATAGTTTATTCATCGTGATTTTGAGAATGGTTGGTTCATCTGGTGCTGTTTGAATCGACACTGTTGGTGAAATTAATTCCATATATGGCATCTCGTAACTTTGATTCCTTGCTAGTGACGGCCCAAGGTATAATAAACGGTGGTGATGTAAGAAAACTCCAACTCGCTGGGATCAATTCCTGCAATGGCCTGATGATGCATACCAAGGAGGTACATACCGGCTTTGCTTAAGTAGCATCAGTCGTTGGGTTTACACTATTGTATATCTGATTGTGGTTAATTGTGGTTTAAATTTATTTGACACAGAACCTCACTGGAATCACCGGTTTATCGGAGGCAAAAGTCGAGCAGATATGGGAAGCGGCTGAGCAAATTGTGGTTAGCTTCGATTTAAACTCTTTTCCAGCTGATGAATATCTCGTGTCATAAACAAACTTGTAGCATTCACACAACATGTACAGAAGTGAAAATTGACTGTCCTGTTCTTGACTAGGCACGTGCGGGTGCATTGTTTCCTCCCCAGATCGATGAAAACGGTAAGATCGAAATCACCTTCCGCTTTCAGATTTCGCCTCTGTAAATTATACTGTTGTTTCTATTTCTGGTCGCTTCTTTCAAGTCTCTCTTGTGCCGTTTATTCAGATTTCGTTCCAATAATCATGTTACTATAACCTTCCAGATTTCTGTGTAACGTTTCCTCAGGTTTCGTTAGAATCTTCATGTTGCTGTTTGTCTAGGCTTGGTTTTCCTGCTGAATCTCTGGGTCCTAAGATTTAGATCTAGAATCGTACCTCAAATCGTGAACATAATTTCGAAATGCTATATCGACTTCTTCTATGTATATCTTATTGCTTTTTTTGTGCTGTTCGTGGTGTTCTTGCAGATGATCAGACTATCAGAAACATCAACAAGAGAGAGCTATTCGAACTTACCTCATGCATCAGGAGCGCATTAAGCGTCTCAGAGTTTCAATTCAGTTAAATAAAGAAGTTGGCGCTGGAACAAAACTTGATGAAAATGGGATCAGGGATACCACATCGCCTGGTTTCAGGGCTGCCACATCGGCTGGCTTCAAGGTTCGACAATGGGAAAGAGAACTGGCGGCTTCTGAGAGGATAGTGAGAAACATTCAGGCCCAAGGTTTCTGAGATTTGGACTTGGAAGCTCGGTTGTTTAATGGCCTTGGCCCATCCTTCTCAACGTCACAAAACATATTTTTTTGTTCCTTTATTTTGTTTTCTGTGTTTCTTCAGTAACTTTCATATCCTTTCAGACCATCTTTTACTATGAATTTTTCAAACAAACTCTACAGAAATATTATCTGAATTCTTAGTTTTGCAATTATTTGTCCGCTTTCCTGAGATCCTCGTTTCATTTTCACTTAGGAATTTATTATATCTATATATATATATCCTAAGCTCCTTTTAAAAACAATATATAATATGGTTAATGGTTATGTTGTAGACGTGATTGTCTAGTGTTTAAATTGAATGCAATAGAAGTAAAATATGAAAACTCAATCTATGTGCTGCATAGAGTATGCATTGATCCTAGAGATTTACACTTTTCAATCAAAGAACAATGAACATCATTGATGTTTTTACGGCTTCTCTAATGTACCTAAACCTTAAATTATGTTCATGTTAATTTTTGTTCTAATAAGTATTAGTGATGTTAACCACAAATAGTTACATTCACAAGCAAATAAAAATTCCAGCGAATTTTTCAACCAAAAGATGTTCGTCTTTTCCTAGCTATGAGCTTTGAACAAAACTTGGAAATCTCTTAGCTGCGTGCAGCTCTCTTCCGGCCACGTGCTTTGGTGCTTGTTGTTGCCTTATTTGAGGCTTCTTCCTCGCTCTGCTCATTATCGCTTCTTCCGCTCTCAAAGCTTTCAGCTTTGTCCGTTGACTCTTCCTCTTCAACTGCTCTCCCTGAATCTTCTTTATCCCTTAGTGCTCTGAGTTTTGCCTTCTTTGTGTTTAACACAGAAACGAACTGCATTGACTCAACAAAAAATTGGGCTCATATCAATGCTAAACATGACAATACCCTTTCACAAAGACTACTCTGCCCCAAAAAAAAAACAGAGGAAGCAATTAACAGATTAGAAAATCTAATGATTCCAATCTAAGCAAGAGTAGAAATCAGGATGTGGATAATAATACATGCCTTTGCATAAGTTGCATCCTCAAACTCCACTTTTTCTTTGCAGACCTTTTCACCTTGCGCTAGGCATTTCTCGGCTTCACTTTTCATCTTCTCAAAAGATCTTGTCTTGTTCACAACTTCTTCCTGTATAGTATATGTGGGTTTTGAGAGATTGCCATTTCTTCCAAAGAGAAAAAAGATGCCGAGTCTAAGAAACATTGATCAAACAACTAAAGGTCTAATTCATCATGTTCATTGCCAAAATACAATGGTATAAATCAATCGCATTTTCATACTCAAACATCACAAGAAACGCCCAAAAGTCAGAATGTTTAGTGTAGAGTCTTACACTTAGCCTTATATTTGCCTCCATGAGAAAATCTAAGATCCCCACTGTGGTCTTCTTGCTGTCATGTGATGGTTTACATTTCCACCGCCATTCGAGTTTAGTTCCTTCCTTCTCGAAAGTCCAAGAGAGCTATAAACAACCAAGAATCACATACAACAAACTCAGGCTTACTCGAGACTAGATAGTTAACAAACCATTTCTTCAGAAAGCAAGATCCAATAACAAAGGAATATAAAGCTCATGTTTCCGATCAAAAAATTCCAAAACTATATACTTGATAACATCAGAGACTGAATGCTTCTTTCTAGGCTTGAATTATCAAAAGAGGAACGTTTTCATATTCATTATTTGCTCTCCGCTTCGACATTGGTCACCTTGAGTTTCAGAGTTCATAACAACACTAAACAAGTTATTTCCACATGATTCCTTAACTACAAATGTGTTAACAAGTTGCCTAACCAAATAATAGCTACACAAATTAGCTAAAGCGTGTAGTTTTCTTTAAAAATTTGAAATCATCGAAGCATCAGCAGCGATAAAGGAGGAGAAAAGAAACATCGAACTGACCCGTTTACATCCTTCAAGAGCATCGGAGAAACCGTAGACGGAATCGGGCTGCTGAAACCCCAAGTATCGCTCGGCGAGCTGGAGATACTCCGATACCGGCTGATCCCATTGTGCCGCTCGATCCGCCACCTCCTCCTCAGTCGCTTCGATTCCGATCAAAACCAACAACAATCAAAATCTGAAAACCTAGGAGATTCAATGACAGTATGAATTTAGGGGTTTCTTTACCATTGCAAACCCAAGAGAAGGAGCCATCGGTGACGGAGATATCGAAACGAGAGTGATGCCAAGTGCCTTTGACGAAAATCGGATAGGCGCCGGAGATTTCAAGTCGGAGACATGTGTGCTTCGTTCTCTCCGGTTCAACCATTGCTTTCAAGTTTCAATCAATCGCCGCCGACGACGACTTGGAGTTTACTCCGTCATAACAGTCACTGTCATGCGATTTTTTTTTTGTTTTGCTTACGTGGATGCTGAGTCAGCCTCGATGTTCAAAAAAAAAATACAATAGAAAAGTTAAACAGCGAAAATTAGAAGTTTTAATTTTATGCATAACCATAATCAATAATAATTACTGTTTTCATTCAATCGTTTAAACGTACTTTGAATCTTGGCAAACAACTCAGAGAAAAATCTGTATTTAGTTTTGCAAATATTTGTCCCCTTTCGCATCCTATAGTTTCATTATTGATCGTGGTTATGCATGGTAATTTTCGTTTTTTAACTCCACTATTGTATATTTTTTTGGAACACTGAGGCTGACTCAGCATCCACGTAAGCATAACAAAAAATTTAAGCTTTTAAGTTTTTTTGTTATCTAACCATATTTACAAAACAATAGAAGAATATAGTCATATTATTTAAATAATATGCAAACTAACAATGGCCCACGTAAAAATTACGAAAAACTCATTCTTCTTAACATTATAAACATATGTTGTCTATATTTCTTTATAAACTATACTATAATATATAATTTTTTCCGGACTATACTATAATATATGTTCTTACACGAGAAGACTTATATAATATAGTATTTGAGGTTCTAATTATATATCAATTTTATATTAATATATTATACTATATAAATTTTTGTATCGTACTATAGTATTTATAAAATTAATTATTTCACATAATTTGTATAGTATGAATCATCAAATGGAAAGGAGAGGGGGAGAGGAGGGGAGGGGAAGGGGAGGGAAATGGGAGGATGGGAGAGGAGAAGACAGGGAAGGGAGAGGAGGGGAAGAGGAAGAGAAGAGATGAGAAGAGACGTGAAGGCAAGAGAAAAGAAGAGGAGAAGAGAAAGAAGAAAAGGGTAGTTTGATATATATTGTATAAAATATAAATAATACTATAACACCTTTTTTCATATGGTTATTCTATTAATTTTAACTGATCCTGTGGTTATTACAGCCAATTTCCTTTTTTTTTTTTACATTTTCTAAGCTCTTCTTTAAAACAGCATATTGATTGATTATGTTATAAACCTGATTGTCTAGTGTTTTAATTGAATGCTATCCACAAATATGTTGCATAGACTATATGCATTGATCTTGAAAATTTACACTTTTCACTCAAAGAACAATGAACATTGACGTTTTGGGAAACTGTTACGGCTTGTCTAGCTAATGTACCTAAACGTTAAGTTATTTTTGACGTTAATTTTTTGTATTAAGACGTATTAGTGATGTCACTGAATCTTAATCATCACAATAGTTGTTATTATGGCATATAAGTATATAACCTTTGCCGTATCTAGCTAGTCCTAGTACTAACAAATCACAAATGTGTATTAATTTGTAGTATATAGACACGAAAGACTTCTTGTATATGGTTGTGATTTGAAGAATATTATGTTTCAATTGTGGCTTGCAAATTTTGATAGAAGGTTCAGAATTCGCGATATCATTATGATCATTTTTAAAATTTAATACACGAACAACTTTTAAAAACCGTCAAACCCGTAAGATTTATCATTTGTTAGTCACTACACTAACTTAGACGTCTATATACATGTTCCAAACTTAAATATTATAAATGTATTGAAATTATTATTATTGTTTTTGTGTAACCATCTTTAGGAATTATTATTATTATGGTTTGGCTATAGACAAATGGGACCGACCCACTTATTTGTTGGATAGTCTTTCTTTTACTCCACTCAGCGCATACCTCTATCACACACAGCTCAATCATCCCACGTCTTCTTCCAAATTTCCTTATATAACCTTGAAGACTGATTGTAACCATTGTATAAATAAGGGCATAATCAGGAATATTGTCATAATGAGATGCTTATCTTAAAATTAAATTAATAAACGAGGGTGGTGGGAAGGGTTTTTCAATAAAAGGGTGTAGGTGTGGGATAATCAAAATCAAAGAGCAATAAATAAGTTTGGATGCAATGCCAATAAGGATGTTATGTCTTTTCTATAATCACTTTATTATTTTTTTAATTAATGGATGGATTTCTTGCTAAGTCCAAAATCATACTTCTAAACCAACAAATTAATGTGTGTGAAAATGTTTTTAGTTAATTTGTTGATCACATTTGATGGTAATGTGTTTTGTATGAAACAAAATTGTAAATAAACAAAATATAACAGATGTGCTTTGACTACTTGCACAAAAATACTATAGGTGTAGCCAAACTTAAATTGGAAATAAATCAATAATAGTTTGATGATAACTTGTCCCTTTGTGCTCTCTTAATGATTGTTTGATTATACATTCAAAATAGTTCACATATATAGAAATAAAATTTGCATAATTGCCGAAAAAACTTGCCCCACACACACTGACCCGAAAGCTATTCTTAATCATATTAAAATATTAAGATAAGAAACCAAATCGTTGTAGCTAGTATAGTGATTTCGTTATTAGCGTTGGTGAAGACTTAAAAGATTATGAAACAATTTGTAACAATACAGTTTTTTTTACCTATCAAAATGCAAATGAATTTTTCTGATAAGCTTTGTTTACGAGTAAAGAAACGAAAAAGGTTAACATGAGTATTATGTATTATGTGTTATGTTTAATAATGTGATTGATAGAAAATAAATTTTACTGATAGAAAGTAGATTCAATATTATTGTTGAATTTAGTAATGAAAATAGTTCAACAATCATTCAAAGATGTAAAACATTAAACATGTACATACGATTTCGTGTTTTATTTACCAACCCAACATATAAATTAATAAAAAAAAAAGATTAATATAACTACATACGATTTCGTGTTTGATTTACCAACCCAACATATAAATTAATAAAAAGAAAAGATTAATATAACTACTGATGAGGAATAGTTTTCTGTTCTGTCAAATTATTCGAGGGGAGGTCTATAAAAATTAATATCGAGTAAACCGATTTTTTTTGGGTTAAACAACAAATGTTAATAGTGGAGCACTAAGAGACGGCGTCAAGTAACGGCGTTAGCACCGACGAGGAAGGAGATGGTATAAAATACACAACAACATAAATTGCATAGTATCATCATCATCATCATTCTCACAAGTCAGAAACAAACACACATAAGAAAGAGAGAGAAAGAGCGTTACAATTTCTCTCAACAATCACGAGAAAAATGGGTGAGCAAAAACAATCTTCCACTTTCGATTTCATCTATGTTTGATTGCGTTTTCCTTTTCTGCTTCTTCGAAATTTCGGTTTGAGGGATTTCGGCGTTTGTCGATTGCGATTGCGATTGATGATCCTAGTTTCATTGAGGTCACTTCTTCACCTGAGAATCCTCTTCGTCTCTCTACATTTCATTTCCTTTGTTTCGATTCCGAGAAAATTTAGGCAAAATCGCTCGAAATTAAAGAAACTTTAGGTTTTTTTAGCTGCATGTTCATTTTTGTCTAAATGTAGGAAGCATCAGCTAGTTTAAACAATAGAATTTGATTTTTCATGCTCTGTGTTTTGCTTAATTGACAAAGAAAAGTCCCAAAAGTTTATTATGTTGGTCCAAGTCCATGATGAACAAAGCTGATTCTTTGACTATGCAAAAAAGATTTTGGCCGTGTGTACAGTTGAATTTATCTTTTTAGAGGAAATTGAAAGTTGATTGATTATTACTATATTTTAATATGCTTGATTATGCTTTTTGTAATACTATAAGCCGTATTCTCCTTTTAAAACTAAAGCTGCATCCTTCTTTAAGGTCCCACGTTTTGGTTAATCTAATGCTTTTAAAGGGAATAATTCAGATGGTTAGTTGAATTCTTGGTCATCATCTCTAACTAAGCATACTTTAGTTATTATACTAATAACGAAATCTGAGTTGTATATATTGTCTCAGTCTGTGATTTTAAGGAGCTACTATATGTTAATAGTTTCTTCCGTTGAGTATACCAAACATATATCATAATTTGATTGGTGTTGTGAACAGATATCTGTATGGACAAGGAGCCAGATGGTGTGGTGGTCTATGCTAATGGTGATTTGTGTAATCCAGTCCAAGAACATGTTTCTGAGCCTCCTTTAGTATCACGAGATGACGCTAATGGGAATACAGAGCGTCTGTTTACAGAAGAGAACATGGAGGTTAAAGAGTATGATGTTAAAGAGTGTACCAGTGAGATTCCAGTTGGTAAGCCGTCTGAAGAAGGCGGCGGCGATATCGGAAAGGATGCTGGAGGAGGTTCTAAATCCGTAATTAAGTCGAAACATGGTTCGAGATCGGGTCGCGGTAGTAACAGAATAAGGAGCACTGTTCCACAGCCGTTTGCTTTAGCTACAGAGAAGCGTGCTTCCTCTGCAACACGTTCGTTTGCTGGTGAGTCTCATGAAACTGCGGCTGTGTCGAAGGTATTTCCTGATGGGTACAGTAAAGTACAGAATCAGGCAACAAAGGTGAGGACTTTATGCTATTATGTGCTAAATCTAGTCTCTCTTTGAATCGCGGTTTCTTTTGTCTAATCGTTAATGGTTTATGAATCTATTTGTGGTTTCAGGTACCTAGGAAACCATTGCAGCCAAAAAACAAGAAGCTTTCTGATGAGGAAGATTCTTGCTCTGTTGCTTCTTAGTATGTTTTGCTTCTCTTCAAATTGGTTTCTTTTCTAAACTTACAATTGTCTAACCGTTTCAAGTCTTGATTATTGTTGACAGTGCCACTTCGGCTGCAAAGTCTGCTAAATCGAGAACCATTGTCACTGCGGCTCCTTCGTTTCGATCCACTGAACGTGCAGAGAAGCGGAAGGAGGTCAGATTTTGTTCTCTTCTTCTTGTAGTTACTTTGTCTTTTCAACATACCGTTTCCACTCTTAAAGGAGTTTATTGATACATTTTTGAACATTTGGCTTTAATTGATTCAGTTCTATACTAAACTAGAGGAGAAACATCAAGCCATGGAGGCCGAGAAAACGCAGAGCGAAGCAAGGAACAAGGTGCCGTAATGCTTTCCTTTATGCTGATAATTTCCATTAGCATATCACATATGTTGAATGTTTCTGACATATTCTTTTCCCAGGAAGAAAACGATGCAGCGTTAAGGCAATTAAGAAAGAGTTTGATGTTCAAAGCGAGCCCGATGCCAAACTTCTATCACGAAGGGCCTCCTTCAAAGGTTGAACTTAAGAAGGTAACACACAAGGTTGTCTACAATTTCACTACAACATTCACATTTAGGAGAAATTACCTGTAAACTATAAAAACAGTTTTCGAGTTTTTTAACTTTGCATCATCGTGTACACAAAATACAGCCTCCTCCAACACGAGCAAAGTCGCCAAAACTAGGACGGAGGAATCCAAAAGAAGGGAACAGATCAAAAGGAGCTTCGAGGTGGCATGAAACTCGAAAGGCTCTTGTAGTGATCTCTAAAGAAGACCGTGATGATGATGATGAGACCACAAAGAACTCTGACCAGGTAAACCGGTTTGTTACAGAGGAAGTAAACCGTAATTTGGAACCGGAGACCGCTTTTGCCTGCTAAAAGAAAACAGAGAGTTATGCTTTTTTTCCGTTGTGAGGATGTATGTGTGTGGATGGATATGATTTGCGTTCTTTAACTTATGATTTGAAGTGTAAATGTGTGTAATTTAATGTTATTTATGTTGTGTTTATGAAAGTGTGTGTGTCACATAGAAGTAAGATTCTTCCTCTTGTTGGTTTTGTTTATAAATTATAACGAATCTTTTATTCATAATGATGTTTAAATTCGACGCGGCCTTATATTACCTACCGATTTTGGTCGTGAGAAAACCATTGTTTTATTATAAATGAGGAAGTTGTTTGATCAAAGCTGTCATTTATAGGTGAGAAGTTGGTGGTGGAATGAAATGAACTGGTTATTCCTTAATCATTGTTTTAGTTGTATGATTATGTTATCAATATGTTGCAACTTGTAAGTTGATTAAACATTAAAAACGCGAAAAAGAAAGATTGTCGGTATGCTCGGCCAAAAAAGAAAAGTTGTCTACATATTTGTCTTCTAAAGGGGTCTCGACTAAAATCGGCGAATTCTTATGGGCCAGTGGTTGTTTATCGCGCAATCGAGGTTTCATGATAGAGTGGGCCTGGTATTAATGGGCCTATATCGGCCTTAATAAAGAGATTGGTCTTGTAGTAGTCGGTAGAATAGTATATGTGGCGCAACGATGGTGACTGAAGTACTGACAGATCTTGAAGATCTCCCCAATTTCCAACACAGACAAAATAATTTGTACCGAATCGTCACAGTCATCCAAAATTCCCCACGTGTCTCTTTATCTGCACGTGCTCCATTCTGTATTTTTATTTTTTATAACTTTTTTCCCATTTTCTCATTATTGTTAAAAAAAAACTATTTTTTACGTACTCTATTTTTTCTCACCTTTTCATTTTTCTGTAAATTTGATAATCATATCAAATGTTTGTTTTAAATTTGTTATATCATTGAAAAAATAAACCCACCATAATTTCTTATTGAAAAAAATGTTCCATTCCAAATTAAGCAATCAAATCTTGAATAACCGATGCGATAGATAGATTAACTTAACTTCAAAGGATTAATAAAAGGAAGGATATCAGTTGAATTCTTATCCACAGTGAAAAACACGCGCCGAAACTTAACGCGTGAGATTCGGGTATAACGAGAAAGCCACGTCATCTCCACTGTGCTGTTCCTATCACTATCTCTATCTATCTCTATTCTCTATCACCCGCCAACGTCTTTTCGGTACAGCAAATACCAAATGCTATCAAACACATTTATTATTATTTTTTTCTTCTTTAATCAGCCAAATTAATTTAAATAAATAGGCGGAAATTGCTTATCTTCTTTCCTCTTCGTCGTCGTCTTCTACGATTCTCTTGTGGATTGGCTTCCGTCAATGTCGTTCGATTCTCCGGTGAACAGAGGATTTCATTTTCCCTTCTAAAATCTGAAAATTTTCTCACCGAATAACTTTCAGATCGCAGACAGTTATGGATGAAACCTATTTTAATCTCACGGGTTTCCTCCGGAGTCCCTCTGTTACAGAGACATTCGTCGATATCTTGCTATGCGCAGTTCCGATATGGCTCGCCGTCATGATCGGGCTTCTGATTGGATGGTCTTGGCGTCCGAGGTGGACTGGATTGGTTTATCTAGGGTTCCGTTCTAAGCTCCGGTTTCTCTGGACTGCTCCGCCGGGATTCGGCGCTCGCCGTGTTTGGCTTGCTTTCACTGCTCTCTCCGCTTTTTCAGTCTGCCGAACTCTATGGTCAAGACTCGGTGCGAATCCCAAAAAATCAGCGACCCCTACATCGATCGAAGAGCTTCCTCCGACTGAATCAAAAGCATTCTCACGGTTAGTCTATGAAGAAATGAATATCTTTGTAACGATTCTGCAAAACTCATGATGTGATGTTCTCTTGAGATTTGTTGATATACAGTTTTGGTTCTTGTGGGATTTTGAGATGATTGATTACTTTTTGCTCTACTTGTGGATTTGCAGACTTAATGATGAGAAGAAAGAGAAAGAGCAGGAGATTGTGACAGAGAAGGATCTAGAGCATTTGCTGCATCTGCTTGACGCCGGAAATGCGAAGTTAGAATGGCAATCTATGATGGATAAGTCTACTCCAAATATGAGCTACCAAGCCTGGCGACATGAACCTGAGGTTCTGCTTTAAGATTTACGAGTTCTGTATAGAAAGGGTTATGTAATTTGATGGGAAGGATATGGACCATTATTGTTCACTACACTGTTCTGAGGTCTTGTGTGGATTAGGTAGCTTTTGTCTAAGCTTATGGAAGATGCTGCATTTAGTTCTCTGATGCATCAAGCTTAGATTTTGTCGTACATTAGACTTGTTTATGAAAAAATGTTCTGCGATGGCATGTTATGTTTCCTGAAAGACTGTGTTTTTATGTTTGTCAGAATGGTCCTGTTGTTTATCGAAGTCGCACTGTGTTTGAGGATGCAACTCCAGAGATTGTTAGGGACTTCTTCTGGGACGATGAGTTTCGACCTAAATGGGATCCTATGCTTGCTTACTTCAAAACTTTGGAGGAAGATCCTCAGACAGGAGCAACGATTGTTCACTGGATGAAAAAGGTATATTGTACTTTTTTCTTCTTTCTTTCTGTTCTCTCCTCCATGATCATAGCCATTACTAATTTCTTTCCGTTTGCAGTTTCCCTTCTTCTGTAGTGACCGGGAATACATCATTGGTAGGAGAATATGGGAATCTGAAAAGAAGTATTACTCCGTGACAAAGGTAATAATATCTTGCGTTTGCTTTCTCATTTGATCAAAGTATCTCAAGTAATGTGTAGAATAAGCAGAACACTTGTCTGATATTTACTGTTTTGGTACTCAACGTTTTGTATAGGGAGTACCGTATCAAGCTCTACCAAAGCGTGATAAACCGAGACGAGTCGAGCTTTATTTCTCAAGTTGGATTATCAAAGCCGGTATATGTCCTCTTAAAACTGCTTGAATCTTCTTTACCGGATCTTGTTATGTTCTGTTTCTAAGCGAAATACATTAAAATTGCAGTCGAATCTCGAAAAGGGGATGGACAACTATCAGCTTGTGAAGTCTCTCTTGTCCACTACGAAGACATGGGGATCCCAAAAGACGTAGCAAAGTTAGGAGTACGTCATGGCATGTGGGGAGCGGTCAAGAAGCTAAACTCCGGTTTAAGGGCATACCAAACCGCTAGAAAACCAGGGGCGGTTCTCTCACGGAGCGCGCAAATGGCGGGGATCACCACGAAGCTGGACATGGATTTGTTGGGAACATCGAGAGGAGAGGAAGAAGAAGAAGAGAGATCAGGACGAGCCGTGGAGAACGCAAGGAGACAACAGAAGGAGCAGTTGGGTGTAGATTGGAAATGGATCGTTGTAGGAGGAGTGGCTTTGGCTTGTGGGCTTCATTCAAGTGCGATTGGCAAGGCCTTAATGGTTGGAGCAGGACAGAGACTTGCTCGTAGGTGATATAATCTTTGTCGTTATATCTCTGCTTGAGCGATTCATGTTCTTATGTGTTTCCTTGAAGGATTCTTTACCCGCCCGGCACAAAAAGACAGATCATTTATATGCATCCATGGGTTGTGTTTTCTTCTTGTAACTGCGGTGAGAAGAGCATATCTATCGAACTGGAGAGAGTAATTTTGAGCCAAGGTCTGAAATTTGGTCGAATATTTTTTCTTGTAATACAGTTTAAGACTATGGAGCTTATTTAGCTTTTCAAAGAAAAGGATTCATAGAGCTAGAATCCATCTAGAGAAACCATTTGAACAAGATAAAGGAAAAGACAAAAGTTTGTGCTTATGAAGCAAACCTCCAAAATCTCATTCATGTTGGATTAACGGAAATGTTTTTCATTTTGGAATGAAAGTTGAGAAGGAATTGTATTGAGAATGATTATGCGTTTAGAGCATCTCTGTTGTGTGGGGTTTGCTTCTCTAGTGTTGAGATTCATGATTGGTGAACTTGTAATTCTTTGGTATACACATCAATATAGTGATAGTGTTCTTATGAGACGTACATATTCCTTCGTATTTAGCCTTTGGTGAACCTTTTTGGTTGCATGATTGATCGAATACGCGAGGAAGCTAGAAGTTAAACATCCTTTTTGGTTATATGAATATCTAATGCATCTCATGTTAATATTTCTTTAAGGAAACTTTCTATTTTAGTCGTATAGAGAAACTTGAAGAGGAAGGATCAGTGTAACTAATATGACATATATTACTCCTCCCTTTTATTGATTTAGTAATATATTTTAATTTAAAACATTAGTAGCGAAAATGGTATTCCATTTAATACAATGGTTGACTAAGTAGATTTTGGTTTCTAGGTTATTGGAAACAAACATAGAAATTATCTTCATGGAGCAGTAAATTATTCATTAAAAAAAATTATCTTCGTAAGTCTTTTAGAATTTGTAGTAAATATAATATTATAGACGACAAAATGTTTTATAAGAAATGGTAACTACTGAACCAAATAAGCATAATATATAATCCATATTACTATGCTAATATATGTAATATACATATAGTCCTTTTCTGTCTCTATAGTATATATAATCTTTCTATATAGTATATTTTACAATATTCTTTACTTGCCTTTCATATATCGATTGCAGAAAAACCTAAATTACTATACTAGTATATGTCATGTATATATATGTAGTCCTCTTCTTGTTCTATTGTATATTTTACAATATTCCTCACTTGCTTTCAAATTTTGATTGCAGAAAAAACACACAGGCAAGAGGAAGCTAAGTTAGGATCTTTGAAAGAGAGAATGACGCATCTTTTGCTTTTTATATTAGTCCTTGTTATTCTAATCCTTTTCATTGCTACTATGATGTGGTTATGTTACATGCATCATCATGTGCAGCCGAATACTTAACTAGAGAAAGTTATTTATTGAATTTTTAGAAGAAACTAAACAGGATTTTTTTTAAGTTTCTTCTAATTGTGTTCTAGTACTCTATCTATCTATCTAAACCAGTTTACTATGTATTGATAGTTTCATTAATAAATTATATTTATTTATTTAAAAGAGTTTATGTTCAGCGCTATGTGGATCAAACGATAATATTCCTATTGTTCTTTTATCCTCTCATCATTTAAGTGCGTCGAGAAGAGCATAAAGACACAACGTTCTTGGATGTTTTGTTGCTATTCTCCACGTCTTGCATGCATGGTAAATCTTTTTACTTAGATGATTTTAAGTGTATATTTAAATGCAAGATGTACATAATTATCACCACATTCGGTTTCTGATTCATCTGAATCGCAATCTTCTGCCAAATTCTCACTTTCTTCTCCTTCTGAATATATATCTGGAAACGCGTCATCTTCTTCCTCCTACGAACCAGTGTAGCACCAAGCTATGTGACTAGTCCTTAAACACGATTTTGTCATCACTCAGATCCAAACAAGACAAAGTGTTTTAGACGAATACGTACATCTGTTTCTTCTGTCTCCTCGTCGCTAGGAGCATAAGCCACATCAAGCTTGTTGAATGCAAAAAGAAATAAAAATAATTAGCTAATTAAGTTCCAAATAAGAAACAAAATGATATCTTTATACGTCACAAACCTCGCGTCTTTGAAGCTCAATGGAACGTGCTAAATCTTACCTCTTTGTCAAAAGGTTCTCTGGCCTCAACATAGTCTTTGTAGAAAACAGAAGGAGCAGTTGGGTGTAGATTGGAAACAAAGCATAGCATCCTTCACGGGAATAACACATCTTAGCATGTTAAGACCATTGGGAATGTAACAACTGACAAATTAAGATGTGGAGTGGAAAAAAAATGGATTATGGTTATGAATTATTCTTTATTGCCCAAGACATGGTTACAATTTGGAATGCTTATGCGTTTAGTGCATTTCTGTTGTGTGGACTTGTTTCTCTAGTGTTGAGATTCAAGATTGGTGAACTTGCAATTCTAACAAACTTGGGTTCTTTCTTGTAATTATTTTGTATTCATCAATATAGTGTAGTGTTCTTAATGTTGAGACGTACATCTTCATTCGTATTTAGCCTTTGGTCGACCTTTTTGGTTACATGATCGAATACGCGAGAAAGCTACAAGTTATAAGATCCTCTGTTCCGATCCTTTAAGTAATTTGTCGTATGAATCGTACACATTTCTTTCAGGAAATTATAGATATATATATATATATATATACAAGAAATTTTCTATTTTAAAAATATAGAGAAACTTGGAGAGGAAGGATCAATGATGATGATACATATAACTAATATGACATATATATTACTCGTCCCTTTATTGATTTAGCATTTTGTTTGAAGAAATTAAAAGTAAATTGAGAAAATTTAACATTAGTAGAAAAAATGGTGTGGAAATCCATTTAGTTCAGTGGTTGATTAAAATGTTCATTAATGCTTTTATGGTAGTTGGATTGAGTTTCAGTTATTGGAGACATCATGCATCTGTAGTAAAAATAATAGTTTAGACACAAAAATGTAAGAAATGGTAACTATTGAACCAAATAAACACAATATAATCTATATTACTATACTAATATATATGTCATAGTCCCTTTTCTTTCCCTATAGTATATTTTCTTTCTATTTACTATATTTTACAATATTCCTCACTTGCCTTTCAAATGTCGATTGCAGAAAAAACTAAATTACTATACTAATAATATGTGTCATATATATATATATATATATATATATAGCCCTCTTCTTTTTCTATAGTATATTTTACAATATTTCTCACTTGCTTTTCAAAATTTCGATTGCAGAAAAAACACACAGGCAAGAGGAAGCTAAGTTACGATCTTTGATAAAGAGAATGTTGCCGAATTATTTGGGTTCGATAATATTAGTTGTTAGTGTAACCCTTTGCGTTGCTGTTATGGTGTGGTTATATAAAATATGTGATCGTCAGGAGAAACCAAATCCTTAACTACAGAAAGTTATTTATTTAATTTTTAGAAGAAACTAACTAGGATTTTTTTAAAAAAAAATTCTCTGTCTATCTAAAACAGTTTTAGTATGTATTGATAGTTTCATTAATAAATTTTATTTATTTATTTAAAAGAGTTTATGTTCAACGCTATGTGGATCAAACGATAATATTCTTATTGTTCTTTCTTTTCTTGTCATGGGTTGTGTTGTTATCTTCTCATAGTTTAAGTGCGTTGAGAAGAAGAGCATAATAACACAACGTTATTGGATGTTTTGTTGCTATTCTCCACGTCTTGCATGCATGATAAACCTTTTTAGTTAGATGATTTTTATTTTATTTTATTTAATAATCTTACAATAGACATCTTTTCTAATTGTTCTTCAACGTTGAATCTTCAATACCTTTAAATGCATGATGTACATAACCATCACCAAATCCGGTTTCTGATTCATCTGAATCCCAATCTTCTGCCATATTCTCACCTTCTTCTCCTTCTGCATACATCTCTGGGAATGCGTCATCTTCTTCCTCCTACAAACCAGAGTAGCACCAAGCTATGTGACTAGCTAGTCCTTAAACACGTTTGTGTCATCACTCAAACCCAAACAAAACAGAGTGTTTTAGACGAATACGTACATCTGTTTCTTCTGTCTCCTCGTCGCTAGAAGCATAAGCCACATCAAGCTTGTTGTATAACTCTTCATCTCCCTTGTCTTCTACCTTCTCCATTAGTTCCTGATAGAACGATTTCAAGGTCTCGAGTTACTCTACCATTGCAAAACAAACTGCACATGAAACTATCAAAACATACTAAACTGCTTTAGAGAGATAGAACCAGTTAGATCCATTACAATTTCAGCTCTCAGCTGTTCTGCTCTCGCATGTATAGCTGAAATGTGTTTTATAAGACCCTGTTGAATGCAAAACGGAATAAAAAAAATTAGCTAATTAAGTTTGCAAATAAGAAACAAAATGATAACTTTATATCACAAAGTCACAAACCTCGCGTCTTTGAAGCTCAATGGAACGTGCTAAAGCTTTCCTCTTTGTCAAAAGGTTCTTTGGCCTCAACAATGGAGGACGCTTATAGTCTTTTCCTCTATACACGATAATGGCATATCCTTTAGAGACTTTATCAATGGAAACTAGTATACCATTACTCTCGGCTTCAAGGGCTAATGCCACTTTCTTCACACCGTCAAAAGTTTTAGCCTTGATGATAACTTTGACCAGCTCTCTGTACTTCCAGTGCAAGTGCATGTTCTCCACCGTACCATCAAACACTCCTCGCCTACCTAAAGCAGCGACAATTGTTCAAGTTTCTTTTACTGAGTCCGAGTGCAAAACACACTTTGAACTACACTTACTAATAACTTACCTAAAAGTAAGAATGCTTTCATCTTCAAACCGAGCTTGCGGAACATAAATCTCTCTTCATCGGTTATGGTGTCTTGGTCTGCTCTCTGCTGTGCTGGCTTTAGACACTCTTCCACCTTAGCCAAACCACGTTCAGCTTTCAACAGCTTCCTCTCGGCCTAAACCGGAAGATTAAAAATCAGATTAATTCAATAGTCCTATTTCACAAAACAAGGGCTGAGTCAAGAGAACTCACTAAAGAAAGTTTCTTTTCTAGCTTCCTGACAAGATCTTCATGCCTCAGTTTCTCAACCTCATGTTTCACTTCTTTTGCATGATGACCATCATCAAGATTCTTTCCCCACTTACCAGTCGCGTCAAGAGTCTCACCAAGAGTACCCGCAGAAACAGGTTTATTTGGAAGTTGAACACTTGGGACAATCAGAGCCGATGATCCTCTTAAACGAGCCTGTTCTTCGTCGTCTTGCAAAGTCCTTGCGAATCTCTCCTGCTCCACCAATGCCTCAGCGACTTCTCTTGACAAAAAGTTCTTCCCTCTGTAGAAAACCAAGAAGTCTTTGTTCCTAGAGAGAAGTATGCCTCCTGTCAACTTCTGCAGTTACTTACCAAGAACAAGATATCAAATATTCAGCTTCAGTTGCATATAAAAGACAAAAAGACTTCTTATTACCTTGAGTTCTTCAGCCATTTTCTCACTAGTGGTCAATTGTACACCGCGTTTAATCGCAATCTTTGCAAGCATACTCTTTTCCCATAACGTAACCATTGCTGTCGCCAAGCCTTGAAGCTGCCTATTACGACCTGGAAATCAAAAGAAAACTCTTCAAAGACTCCATCAGGCTCCGGAAAAGTCGAAAAACAAATAAATGTCACATACCTAAAGCAAAATGCGGAGGAAGAAATCTAGCGAGTCTTCTCAAAGCTGTTGCTTCCTTTGGTCCAAGAGATGATCTCACACCATAAGGAAGTATCCTGAAAGGCGGTTCGTAACCAGGAACGGCGCCTGGAAGCAAATCAGCATCTATAGGTAAAGGATGATCTCCAGTCCAGTCCATGAACCTAGGGCCAAGACCATCTAACAGTTCTTCAATTTCATCTTCATATTCTACTTCTCGTTGAGACGTCCCCTGGTCTTTACTTTCTACACTAGCTGTCTCCTGTTCTAGCTGCTGAGGAAGATCCACTTCTTCATCTCTACTTTCCACCATAGTTGTAGTTGCAGGTAAGGAAGAAGAAGGTGACGTCTCCTCTCTCTTTTGCTTGTTCCATTTTCCTGCTGGAAGCTCGAAACTGACACCTCTGTACAAAGAAATCGAAGTCCCTGACCTCCAAATCACTAAACCACCAGTCTTTCTCTGCCACAAACAAGAAACTACATTAGAACATGATAAAGGAAAGAACTTTTGACAAAAGTTTATGCTTTTGCAGACGAAAGACTCTTATTGTGGGGCATATAAGAAGCAAACCTCTAGCATCTCATGCATCTTTCTCATGTTAAGCGCGCTTGCTCCTTCAATCTTCAACCTCACAATCTCAGAGCTCTTCCACTTCTCCCTGATCGAATCCACAGCCACCTGAGTCACTCCTGCGCCACGAATCTTCATCTTGCTCGGTGTTCGAAACGTCAGGTTCCTCAACCTCCTTAGCTCAGATTCCGGGAGAGTCATCTCCGCAAGCGAGTATCTACTCTCCTTCTTCGCAGTCCACTCTGCTTCTAACTCCTTCTTCTCCTCAGCACTTATCTTCCCCCAAGGAAACGCAACTTCTCCTCCATTGCTCCCAAATACATTTTCTCTTCGTAATAATGATTCATCAGTGAATCCACCTCTCGTATTCGGCAAACTCCCTTCTTCAACATAGAATATATCCTCCACAGATCCTTTCTCAATCCTTCTCTCTTGTTCAATCTCCTGATTCTTCTCACCATCATCCATATATCCATACTTTCTCAATTTCTCCACAATCTTCTCCATTGTACTACCATCACCATCTCTACTAGTAGTTTCACCAATCGCAGAAAATCTACCTTCTTTGCGATAATTTACAACTATCTTCGGAGGTTTAGGTTGATTCCGTTTCTGGGCTCTGTTCCAATTCCCTATCCATTCTCCATTACCATCCCGAATACTAATTTTAAACTTGTTCACAGGAGAAAAGCTAAATCTTTTCGACGGAGTTTGATCGCTACTCGAACCAGAGGTAATAACACCGTTACGGGGAGATACTGAAATTGATGAACTGTACCTTAAGAAACGGAAGCAGAAGGAGCTTTGAAACGAGTTTACAAGCTTCGTCTTCGTGATAATGGTTGGGCAAAAATTGCGACTGGGTTTCATCGCCATTGCTGAGATAGAAAAAAACTCGAGTGGATGGGTTTATTCACAGAGAAATGTTTCTCGTGTCCAATTTTATAAAAATTTCAGCTTTAGCAGATTTCTGATAGGTTGAAGGTCCCGTTGGCATTTATGAAGAAGAAGCTGAGGAGTAAAGGCAGAAGAGCCCGTGCTTGGGAAAAGAAGACGAGGGGAGAAAGTGGCTAAAGTGTCGAAGAAGGGAAGCAGGGGAAGTCTCTTATCAAGAGACAGAGGCTTTCACATTTCAATAATATGTTATGGGCAGTCGTATCGTATTACTGTAGCAAAGAATGTATTTAAACAGTGTACCCCTGTTTAGGGTTTTTTATCTTAGAAAGATCAAACAATTAATCAATCTCTTCCTTCAATCATTATCTTTTTATCTTATCTATTTCTTCTATCTCCTTATCTTATTTCTGCCCGATACTATTTGGTAAGTCTCGAGCTTATCATTGATGCTTTTATTGAGAGCAAAACAACAAGTGAGAGAGAAAAATGACGATCCCTCCCACCGTCGGCGGCACAGATCCCAGATCTGCGTCATCTGAACTCGAGACAAACGTTTCCGAGACTCCGGGTCAGCCCCTGACCGTGGAACAACGACTGGATAAGCATGACAAGGACATTCTCTGGATCCATCAGTCCATGGAGGATATCATGAAGAAGTTGGAGTACCTGGTCGCCGGAATCGCCCCGATGGGTTTTGCAAGCCCCATCTCCGTCGCTGCCATGCAAGCTACTCCCTTTACGCCAGAGGCACACTCAGATCGAACACAAAGAGACGAGCTTTTACCCCGCCTCGGTGATGAACTTAGGGTTCGACCTTCTGAAGGTTTCACCCTTCCGACAGCGCGTGAGCTATGAGTGGAGCTTCCTCCAGCTCCAGCGGAGACTCCTTTGAAGCATGTCGATTTGCCGGTGTTTGAAAGAAACAACCCTAAAGACTGGTTGTTCCGGATTGAAAAGTGCTTCGCCATGAACAAGATCTCGGAGTTAGAGAAACTTGACCACGTTGTGACTTGTCTCACGGGAGCAGCGGTTACCTGGCGGAGAGGCGCACAGGAGCGATCATGCACTGGAAGGATTTCACTGACAAGTTCAAAATCCGGTTTAAGCAGAACAGGGGATGTTCATCGATGGACCAGTTGTTCTGCATCGCACAAAAAGGGAGTGTGGAAGAATTTCGTGAACGTTTTGAGGCGTTAGCAGTGGAGCTTCCTCATGTGCCCGACGACGTTCTGGAGTCGGCCTTTCTCAGGGGGCTCAAGAAGCACCTCCGAGACCAAGTGGTGCGCTGCAGGCCTGTCAACATGGCGGATATAGTTGACATAGCGAAATTGATTGAATCACAGGAAGGAGAAAACATGAGTTATTTCAGTCGGAGTGGCCCGGTAGTTGTCAACATGAATGTGGGGTTCAACTACGTAAAGGATAACAAAAGGCCTACGGGGAACACTGTAGCCCGAGCTCCCACGCCTTGCCGTTATTGCAGTGACACTTGGGTGCCAGGACATCGCTGTAAACAGAAGCTGAAATGCCTGGAAGTAACTGAGGAAGGAGAAACTGAGGATAACACCGAAGGAGAACAGATAGAGATTGAGCAAGGTGAACCAGTGGTGGAACACCAGGAGATTGTTACACTTTCTCTGCAGTCCATGGTGGGGTTAACAACCGTCAGGGCGATGAAAATGAAAGGGAAAATCGGAGAGAGAGAAGTGATCATCCTGATCGATTCTGGTGTGACAAGTAATTTTCTCTCTGAGACATTAGTGCAAGAGTTGGGATTGCAACAGAGTGACACCAAGGGGTTTGGTGTAAGAGTGGCTGACGGGCAGATTCTCAGTGGCAGAGGCAGATGCTCCGGAGTACTCTTAGACATACAAGGGGTCGAGATTATGGAGGAGTTTCTGGTGTTTGAGCTGGGTACCACGGATGTTGTGTTGGGGTACTCCTGGCTAGCGTCGTTGGGCGATACCAGAATTAACTGGCTCAAGAGTACATTGAGCTGGAAGATCGGAGAGTTATGGGTCACCATTGTGGGCAACCCCAGCTTAAGCAAAGAACAAATCTTCCTCAACTCCATGGAGAAGATGATTCGCAAGAACGGCGAGGTCTATCTACTGGAGTTAACATCTCTATTCACCAACACAGATTCAACCAAAGGACAAAGCCATAGTCCGGAGGTACAGAGGGTCCTGGAGCAGTATGGTGATGTCTTCCAGATGCCACAAGGCCTTCCCCCGACTCGGAATAGGGAACACGCGATCACCCTATACGAAGGAGCAGGGCCTATCAACATACGCCCATATCGCTACTCTTTCCTACAAAAGAATGAGATTGAGAAATTGATACAGGAGATGTTGGAAGCATGGATAATCAGACCGAGCATTAGCCCGTACTCGAGTCTGGTTCTCTTGATGAAGAAGAAGGATGGAGGATGAAGTTTTGTGTAGATTACAGGGCGCTTAATAAGGCAACAGTCCCTGATCGATATCCAATTCCCATCATTGAGGAGCTCTTAGACGAGTTAAACGGAGCAACGGTTTTCTCTAAGCTGGATCTTAAGTCGGGTTATCACCAGATAAGAGTGAAGGGCAGTGACGTCGAGAAAACAGCTTTCAAGACACACCAAGGGCACTACGAGTTTCTGGTGATGCCATTTGGCCTCACCAATACGCCCTCCGCGTTCCAAAGTGTGATGAACGACTTGTTTTGGCCGTATCTCCAGAGGTTCGTGCTCGTGTTCTTTGACGACATCCTCATATACAGCACGGACATCAATACACACCTGAAGCATCTACAAACGGTGCTGCGAGTGATGAGGGAGCACAACTTTTATGCAAACGTGAAGAAGTGTTACTTTGGAACTACGGAAGTGTCGTATCTGGGTCATAGAATCTCAGGGAAGGGTGTTGCTGCGGATCCAGAAAAGATTGAAGCCATGATAAGCTGGCCTCAACCCAAGACAGTCACGGAGCTGAGAGGATTCTTGGGTCTCACTGAATACTACAGGAGATTCGTAAGGAATTATGGGATAATAGCCAGACCACTCACAGAGCTCCTCAAGAAAGACGGGTTTAAGTGGTCTGAAGCCGCAAGGGAAGCGTTTCAGGTACTAAAAACCGCCGTGACAACGCTGCCTGTGTTAGTCTTACCTGATTTCTCTCGAAGTTTCACTGTTGAAACAGATGCGTCTGGAGCTGGCATAGGAGCTGTATTGTCACAGGATAAACGACCCATTGCTTTTCTCAGCCAGGCTTTCTCTACAACTGGAAGGGTGAAATCAGTTTACGAGAGAGAGCTTCTGGCAATAGTCAAGGCAGTGTCAAAGTGGAAGCATTACTTGACAGGGAGAGAGTTTGTCATTAAGACAGACCAACAGAGCTTGAAGCACTTGCTGGAGCAGAAAGAGGTATCCTCAGTTCAGCAGAGATGGGCTGCCAAGTTGATTGGATTGAACTACCGCATTGAGTATAAACCGGGAGTAGAGAACAAGGTGGCTGACGCCCTATCTAGGAGACCCTAGGGAGACGAGATCTATCAACTAACTCTCGTATCTCCGTTGAAACTGGATAAGGCGCACTTGGCAGAACATACTAAGGGGGATTCTGAACTGGGAGTTATACTGAAGAGTGTCTCGAAGGGGGAAAAGCTCTACCCTGAGTACAGCGAAAAAGATGGGCTCTTGTACAAACACGGTTGTCTCCAGATTCCTGCGAGGTCTCCTCTCACGTTGGAGTTACTTCAGAGATTCCATACCAGTCAAATTGGGGGACACGAGGGGGCGCTCAAGACATACAAACGGTTGGCTCAAGAGGTATCCTGGAGAAGAATGAGGAAGGATGTCATTGAGTTCATCCGCAAATGTCAGGTATGTCAAGAAAACAAATACGCGACTCTTTCACCCGCAGGGTTGTTAGCTCCACTGCCTATCCCGAAGCAGATATGGGCAGATATCAGTCTCGACTTCGTTGAAGGGCTGCCCATCTCCAAAGGATTCAGTGTGATCGATTAAGCAAGTACGGCCACTTCATCCCTCTAAAACATCCTTTCACGGTGAAAACAGTGGCTGAGGTCTTCATCAGAGAAGTGGTTAAGCTCCATGGGTTCCCTGAAACGTTGGTTTCTGACAGAGACAAGGTCTTCCTTAGCAGCTTCTGGTCTGAGTTGTTCAAACTGCAAGGCTCTGCATTGCACAAAAGCACCACTTACCACCCACAAACTGATGGGCAAACAGAGGTGATGAATCGGTGTTTAGAGACGTACTTGAGATGCTTCGTGGGAAGGAAACCAATGAGTTGGATGCAGTGGCTTCCGTGAGCTGAGTACTGGTATAATACATCATACCATTCCTCAAGCAAAATGACTCCCTTCTCGTTGGTTTATGGCAGAGAACCGCCGAGGTTGTTAAGATATGGCGACACTCCCACGGCAAATGCACAAGTGGAAGAGTTGCTGAAGGATCGGGATAGCTTACTTGTGGAGCTGATGGAAAATCTCGAGATAGCTCAGCTCAGAATGGTGAAGGGGGCCAACAAACTTCGTCGTAATGTAGAATACAAGGTAGGAGACATGGTTTATCTGAAACTCCGACCCTATCGGCAGAAGTCGGTCTCTCAACGCAGGAACGAAAAACTAGCTCCTCGTTTCTTTGGACCTTATCCGATTTCTGCTCGCATCGGAAGGGTGGCATACAAGTTAGAGCTGTCCAAGCACAGCAGCATACACCCGGTTTTCCATGTCTCGCAGCTCAAAAGGGCAGTGGCAGCACCTCACCAAGCGCATGACCTTTCCGCGATCTTAAGTCCGACACTGGAGTGGCAAACAGAGCTGGAGGAGTTCCTGGATGCACGCAGATCAGCATCAGGAGCAGAAACTGAGGTACGTGTCAAATAGAAAAGCCTTCCTATTTATGAATCTACTTGAGAGAGTCTCTCTACTTTGGCAGGTCAATTTCCACACATCAACCTTGAGGACAAGGTTGTTTCTCTTGGGGGGAGTATTGATAGGCTGAAGGTCCCGTTGGCATTTATGAAGAAGAAGCTGAGGACTAAAGGCAGAAGAGCTCGTGCTTGAGAAAAGAAGACGAGGAGAGAAAGTGGCTAAGTGTCGAAGAAGGGAAGCAGGGGAAGTCTCTTATCAAGACAGAGGCTTTCACATTTCAATAATATGTTATGCGCAGTCGTATTACTATAGCAAAGAATGTATTTAAACAATGTACCCATGTTTAGGGTTCTTTATCTTAGAAAGATCAAACAATTAATCAATCTCTTCCTTCAATCATTCTCTTCTTATCTTATCTATTTCTTCTATCTCCTTATCTTATTTCTGCCCGATACTATTTGGTAAGTCTCGAGCTTATCAATTTCTTGCCGCCACGAAGCTCTAACTCTGTGTTTATCCATGGCGGGCGAAAAGGGTGAAGATGGAAGATTGAGATATCAAGAGGTTTGTTTGGATACAGGTCTTTCGTAAAACTTAACCCAAGTCAAAGGAAACCAGGTGTAAACTAAACTAAACAACGCACAAAATCTGCGCATGTTTGTCACATAAAAGCAAGACTGGCTAAATGAGCCTCAAGTCCAAAAACTTTCGTTTTCAAAATCCTCACAAGCAAAGCAAAGCAAAAAGGTTCCCCCCCATATATAATAGGACCATAGTTATTCTTAACAATTACTAAATAAAGAAAGATGCAAACCCTTGGCTAGTCTTCTTCATGTTTTCTTCTTACGCAAGAAAGAGTTTTTAAAAGAAGAAAAAGGGTTTTTTGGTGACGGATTTGAGATGAATCAGAAAAAGAGGTGAGAGCGACTGTAATGGAGAACCATGACGAACTCAGCAGCAGAGCTTCCGACCATGGAGCTTTTGCGTTCAGACATTGGAGTAGTCTGGACCCACCAATCTCTCAAGTGGCTCAATATCTGTGACGAACACACTGGCTCTTCCCTTAGCCATATCTCCACCTGCAAGATCCCAACCATAAAAAAAAAGTTAGCTTTAAAGAGAAGAGAGACAGAGAGAGATAGAGAGAAGAGTATAGTAATTTACTTCATCTTCGCTTTCGAGACCGAGCTTCTCCACTATATACTTCTTGACATGTGAGACAGGTATGTTTCCATATCTGTACAAATCAAAGAATCACTAAATATATATAATATATCACAAATTCTGAATGAAGTTTGTTTAGTGATGATCACACTTACTCTACTTTCAAGTTGGCAGGGGTGATTTGTGGCAGTGGCACGTCTGTGTTCCTGAGAAAACAAAACAAATCAGAATCTAAAAGCTTTAAAGGAAAATGATAAAGAAGATAGTAAAAAAAGTTTTTTTAAGTGTTTTTTTACTGATTCGAGGCAGCGACTACTTTAAACCAAACCGGATTGCTGTCAAGTTTCTTTTCTGGTCCTGTAAAAAGAGCAGCTTGTGATGTACCAGCTCCATTCACAATCCTCTTCCCTCGTGATCTCAAAACCGGAGGAGAGTAAACTTTTCCTTTCCCTTTCCATTTCTTACGAGAGCTCTTCTTCTTCCCTGAGTTAGAAGCAGCACTTTCTAGGTTTTTCACATCATTTTTCTTCGGTTTCTCACCATAGACGTCCTCTGTATCGCTTTCAGAGCTAACAAGTACAGGCATCTCATTCGGTTCACCATGGAACTCCTCTGTGTCATCTCCCTCGAAGCGATTAAAGAGAGTGTTTTGATTCTCTTCAGCACATTCCTCTGCTTTCTCATCTTGTTTTTCTTTGCCGTTTGGCTTCAGCGGCGTGACTTCCTCCTTATCAAGAGTCAAGGACTTACGAAGATCATCAGCTGAAACTGTTATCTTTTTATCATCTTTCTCCTTTTGGTTGCATCCTTTAGATGCGGTTGCTCCAGCCTGTGGTGATGCATCATTCTCATCTCTGTAACAACATCAAGAACAAAATATTTTCAAACATTAAAAGTGTTTTTGGTACTAACCAAGCCATTGTCTTGTTCAATGTTGGTAAGAGTCTTGAAACCATTTTCACATTCCTCAAGAGGCTGTTCCGGTTCCAGTTCAAACCTTTTAGGCATTGGGTTTTTCCTTGGACGCCTCCTGAAGTTTAAAACTGGTGTAGACGAGCTCTGGTTCAGAGTGACAGCTTCCATTTTCTCGCCAAGCTTCTCGGGATCCAATGGAGCAGCATCAGGAGTTGGGTGATCAGGTGAGGTTGTTACTCTAGCTGAAGTTGGGAGGAGTGAAGAAGATGGAGCTTTCTTCTTCTTTCTTGAGTATTGCCTAGAGATTGGAACAGTTTCAGTTGCTGCATTTACATTCTCTGGCTTTGTTTTGAAGACTCTTAGCACCAAATCATCCCAAGTGTTATCCGCCCTGCACTTATTATATACACAGAGCTCAGCTACATATTTCATAATCATAGATGCAATCATGCTAAGAAGAAGAGAAGCCACAGTTTTTGAAACTAAATTTTTCATAAACATAGATGCAATCATTCATACCGGAGTTTATCAAGAGGAGCAACACCAAGATCAACATTGCAGACTGGACAAGCTTTCAGTTTTTCTACTACGATCTTGTCCTCTATGCATTTCTTGCAAACTGTTCCAAAAAAATTCTTTAATCCATAATCCAAATATATACTCATAGTCCCGGAAGCAGAGACGCACAGACATAACAAGCAGAAAGAACAGAGTTAATGTCTTTCATGTAGAGTTTTGGTTGATTTCTTAACCAAAAAGATGTATAGCTTTACAAACACTCAGCTTTTTCAAGCATAATACAACAACTGATGAACTTGAAATCACAAAAAGAATCATCCTTTATAGATCTGCAAAACTGTACTTCTAGAGATAAGCAGTTTATGTTCCTCTGAGATAATATAATTTTGACCCACAACATATATACTGTTTCTTCAGTTCTGAGAATCAATCAAAATATCTCTAGAAAGATAGAAAAAAACATGCAGAAACAAATACAAAAGTAAAGACTAGCATAACAACAAAGAGAACGTAGTAATAGGCTTAAACCCAGACGATAAAATCGATTTAAATCACACCAAAATTCCCCAAGAAGATTTGCAAATTAATAGAGAAAGCTAAAGAAAGGAAAATCAAAGGCTTACATGTGTGGACACACTCAGAGATGGTGGTGGCACGATCATAGAGCTTGTTACAGATAGGACAAGTGAGACATTCCATCATATCCTGCTTCTTCGCCTTCAAAATCATTTTCTTCTCCTCCATTAAAACTAATCTCTGAGAAAGACTTTGGTTTTCTTTATGGATTCGCTTCTTTCACGTAACGCAGCATGGTGCATGTACGAAGAAACCAAACCCAGAGAGAATCAAAATTCGAGATTTCTCCTTGATTTCGCACAAATAGAAGAACCAGAGACGTGAAAGTTTGGATTTTTGTCTCCAAACTCTCACTTCTCGTTCTCTCTCTCTCTCTCTCTCTCTCTCTCTCTCTCTCTCTCTCTCAGGGAAAAAAATCTCTGTAAGAAGAGGGTTTTGATTTCTGGAGGTGAAATTTGCCAAAAAGTATTTTCTGCGAGAGGGCCGGTTTTAAGACTTTACATAGTTAGAGAGCTCAATGTGTAAAAAAGTTAAAATTTTAAGGCCCACGAAAAAAACAAAAATAACAAAAAACATTTGCCAACTTCAGCCAAAACATTTGATAATTACAATCTTTTCATATTCCAGATTGCTAATTTAAAGAAAATTAACCATTTACCAAATACAAATTTAGAATTTAAACAGGCTAGGTAACAAATTGAATTAAAATGCATATGTGTGATTCAACAACTACTTATTTTTTTGACAATTAATTCATAATCGAAAATATCGATATATATATATATGTGCGTTTAATTTTTAGTCAAAAGTCTATTTTTCTTACAAACAGTTATGTATATATAATTAATATTATTGATGACCACAAATAATTTTAGATATTATACCCAATATATCGTTAAAATGAACATTTTTAGAAATTTTGGTAACTGTAAAAAAATATCATATATGTTAATATTTGATAAATTAGAAATAAAATCTAAAAGAAATTGCTTACGTGCAGGTCTGAGAATTTGAGTAAAAAATTATGGGTTCCGCCCTGTTTGACTCACTGCAAGACGAGTGCGGATCAGCTAAATTTTTAAGTATCAAATAACAAAGCGGATGCAAGTTAAAATTTATATATGGTAAGGTGATGCGGGTGCGAGTCAAAATTTATATATGGTAAGGCGATGCGGATTTTAATATTTGGAGAAGCAGTTTGCGAATATCGGCAAATATATGAAACTGTGTTGTTTTTAAAATGTGTTATTTTTATTTTTTACTTTGTTGGTGTGTGTCATTTTTAACCAAAACTGTGTGTCATTTTAAAACATACAAGAGAAAAAAAACCTATTGACTATTATCCTAATGAATTCTTTCACTTCTTCACTACCATCACTCTCTTACCCAACCACCATCAATTTATCTGATTCTTTTTATTTTGTACCTTCTTAAACTTTTGATCTACTATCATCTCTGTAAATTGACTCTCTCTCTCTCTCTCTCTCTCTAAATCAAATTTTTCTCTGCAAAACGTCTCTCTCTGCCTCACTTTCACATAATAGAATTAAATTTTGAATATGTTTCTTTGTCTTTCTCTCATCATTGTCTCATCATTGATCCCTGTTCTTCTTTCCTCAGTTTTTTTCCTAAGTAATGGGTTACCCGCCAAACTAGCTTGAATAATGCGGGGCGGTGCGGATATCTGATTTATAATTGGTGGGTTAAGAGGATATTTTCTTGATAAATTTAACTCAAACTCACGGCAGAGTTGGTCACGCAGGGCAAATCTGACCCGCTTGCCTGAAATATTTACATGTTATCACTAAAACTATTTGTTTATAATCAAAATAATATATGCATTTAATTTTGAATCATAAGTCTAATTTAGAAAAAAAAAATCGTCAAGTATTAATGCCAAACATATAATTGGTTATTATGCCAAATATATCATTGAATTAGATATTTTAAAATTTATCTTAACCATATAAATTTATCTCATTTATATTATTTGACAAGTTAGAGAGAATATCATAAAATTCTGCCAACATAGAATGATTTGAGGAATGTTTCAAAACTTAAAATTTATCTTCTAAAATTGTTTACAACAATGGGCACTATTTCATACTATTTATTATAAAAATTAAAATGAACTAGGAAAGAACAAGTGGACTAATGGTGTTACAACTCTATTAACTATCCATCAATCATTATGTTCTACCAAAATGTGAGAATGAATTAATCACTGAGCTTTAGGATGTTAATCTATTAGACCGGAAATTTGTGGCCCAGTTAATGACAAAAAATGAAAAAAATAAAATGAACTATTTTACTAAACCATTTGTATAAGCTCATGTAATAATCATCACAATAATCTAATGATCACTTTTATTTTTTAATCTAACCTGAAACTTAATTTCTTTTTGTCTTTCCCAATTTCTCACATGAACATCATATTGACTTAATAAGGATCAATATATTGAACATAATGTTGGATCAACAATCATTATGTAGTTTTTTTATTATTATTATTATTATTGGCATGACTCCCATTTCATTGCTGAAGAATTTATAAAATTCATCTGAGAAAATTGAAAATTTCATTATTGTTTATGGAGTTGCTTTATTGGTGTTCTGTAATATGATCAGTTTCGGTCTATACATTTTACAAATCCTCAAAGAAGATGCAGAGAAGTCCCTATCACTTGTTACAAAAAAACATATTCCCTTCATATATTTAGCTTCCTAATATCATTAAATTTGCATTATATAATATGTTTTGGCGGTCCATATAAGAGATTTTACATAATTAAATAATAAAATGTAAAAAATATTAAAATTTGATAGCCTGCAAAAAGATAAATAAAAACAAATTGCCAACTTCAACAAAAACATTTGATAAATTACTTTCTTAACATTTCAGCATTGCTAATTTTAAAGAAATTAAAATTAACATTAACCAAATGAAAATTTAAATATTAAAGGCTAGTTACCAAAATAGATTAAAATGCATATGTGTGACTCAACAACTATTTATAAATCTTTATAATTACTATGTATGTTTATTCATATATACATACACATATATAATATATATATATTAACTTTATGTATACGTTTACTTTTAAGTCAATTTTTTTTCTTACAAACAGCTATGTATACACAATTAATATCATTGTCCACCATATATAATTTAGATATTCTGCCAAATAAATTATGAATTGAATATTTTATAAATTGCGCTAACTGTAAACATTTATCATATATGTTAATATTTGATAAGTTAGAAATAATATTTTTAAGAGAAATAACTATTCATTAAATGAAAATTTAGAATTTTAAACTGGTTAAATAATAATTTGGAATAAAATTCATATGTATAATGTATGACACAACTACATTTCTAACTTTTTGACAATTACTTTGTATGCTAATTCATAATCAAATATATATATATATATGCATTTTATTTTATGTCAAAAGTCTACTTTTTTTTATGTCAAACAGTTACATATATACAATTAATATCATTGCTGACCATAAATAATTTAGATATTATGCCAAATATATAGATATGTTGAATATTTTTTGAAAATTTGCTAGCTGTAATAATTTATCGTATATGTTAATATTTGATAAGTTAGAAATGATATTTACAAAATATGCTTACATGTTATCAATAAAATCATTTGTTTATAATGAAATAAATCACATTCAATTCTGAATCAGTAGCTTAATTGCAAAAGAAATAAAATTGCCATGTGTATTTACAACTAATATCATCGATGAACATATATTTGGGTTATTATGTCAAATATACTGTTGAACTAGATATTTTTAAAAAATATTTTAACCATATAATTTTTTTTTCTACAAGCCTTATAAAATTATCACATATATTTTATTTAACAAGTTATAGAGAATATCTACAAAATTTTACCAGCATGTTTTCACTAGAATGATTTTAGTTGTGTTCCACAATTTGATATTTATCTTCTAAAATTATTTACAACAATTGGCATTATGCTACAATGTTTATTATAAAAATAATATGATTATGAACTAAGAAACATCAAACAACAAGTGGACCAGTGGTATTACACATCTCTTACCCCTCCATCAAATTCCATATTCAATCCTTGTCTTTTACCAAAATGTGAGAATTAAATAACTAGTGAGCCTTAGGATGTTTAAGTTATTGGGCTGACACTTTATGGTCTATTAAAATAAGCTACTCAACTAAACCAATTTTATTAAAAATTAAGTTAAGGATCACTTTTAACTTAATATAAAACTAAACTTTTTTTTTATCATTCCTTATTTGGCACTCATATTGGGTTAAGAAGGATCACCAAATTGGAATTATTATTGGATCACTATGGTATCAATTTTTTATTGGCATAACTCATTTTTTCATGACTTAAGAACTTACAAAGTTTGTCGATAAAACTGGAAACTCTTTACTATCGTTTTGCAGAATTACTTCATTGTTGTTCTGTCATATAATCAGCTTCGGTATAGTCTTTTAAGAATCCTATGATAGAATGCAAAAAAGTCCTATCACATGTTAAAAAAAAAGATATATTCACTTTATATCTAAAACTTCATAATATCTCTAAATTTGCATTATACAACATATTTTCAGGGTCGATTGCGAGACTTTACAAATTAGTAAAATCAATATGAAAATATAAACAAATTCGTGTAGCATCTGATTCACAGAAAGTGATCAGAGCTATTCGTGGAGAAAGGACAAAAAAGTATAAATAACAAAAAAAAATATTTGTTAACTTTAACAATTTTTTTTATTGCCAACACATTTTGGTTGTGGCACAATTAATGACATTTGCCAACACTTTTTGGCATAATTAAGGACATAAAAGAAGACTAAAATGAAATACTCAACTAAACCAATTTTATAAGCTCACTTAATTTTCATAATAAGTTAAAGATCACTTTTTAACTTAACATAAAACTCATCTTCTTATGTCTTCTCCATTTCTCACTTAAACACCATCTTGGATTGAGAATGAACACCATATTAAACTTATTGTTGGATCAACAACCATTATGCTATCATTTCTCTTTATTGGTATGACTCTTTTTTCATTATTCAAAAACTTACAGGGTTCATTGATAAATAAGCTTTAATCCAAATATATAATAAATTCTAAGACGGGATATAAAAAAAGCTCCTGCAGATAATAAATTTACACTATAAGACACTTTTTTACTTTTAATTAATAGAAAGACACTTTCAGCTCTTAGCATTTCTATTTGTTTAAAATACATCAAGATTCTTCACTATGAAAATTTTCTTTTTTTCTAATCTCTCTCCTACGCAACTTTCATCTCCACCTTCTTCTCTCTTCTTCTCCACGTTCTTCTTAACCCAATAACCTAATTCT